TTTCCCTCCTTTTCCCTCTCCCTCTCCAGAAAAAAAAAGTGCAGATCCAAGCCACAGAAATTATTCTATGAATTATATCTCTGAAAGCCTGGAGATATGCCTAAGTGTGAAACACCAGTCAAGAAATAATCTTAATCAAGTCCCTGTGTCTGGGCACAGATATTCCTAGAAAATGGAGACAGATAAAACTTGGGCTTGGCAGATTTCTCTCTTCCCTCAAGGTGGTCTTTCAGGAAGAAATGATGGAATCTCTACAAGCACCTCCCTCACTACCACAGGATTTCTCCACCTCAGCACTATCGGACATTTGGGGCTGGACAAGTGTTTGTTGTGGGGTTGTCCTGTGCATTGTGGGATGTTTAGCAGAGTCCCTGGCCTCCACCCACGAGGTGCCAGTAGCACCCTCACCACAACCAGCACCCACGTGTAACAAATGAAAATGTCTCCAGACATTGCCAGATATCCTCAAGGGACAAAATGACCCCTGTGAGAACCACTGCCCGACAATAGGCAGACTTCAGCTCTACTGATCTTACTTGGGAGTGAAATGAGAGTGTGTCAACCTAAAGAAAAGCACACAACGTAAGAACTGTGGGTGTAAGTTTTATTCGGGGTCTTACTGAGGACTACAGCCCAGGAGATGCCACTCAGGTAGCTCTGAGGAAACTGCTCCAAAGAGGTAGAGGAGAAGCCAGCTTCTATACGATTTTTGGCTAGGGAATACATGCAGTCAAGCGTACATCTTGGTAAAAGATTACTGCTAATCCCAAAGAACAGATAGCTCAAGTTAATGATTTTAGTGCTTTCTTATGTATGGGAAGATGCAAGAATTGGGAGTCACTGAAATTCTTCCTGAGGGATGTATCTAACTATCTTAGCACCTGTTTATCCAAAGCACAGAGTGTCCTATCCTGTTTTTCATCTTGAATTCCTCTCAGGTTGCACTATAGGTGGGCAACTGCAGTGGGTTACAAATTAACCCTTGTAGAACTGGGTGCTAAGCAATGCTCTGTCTTAGCCATCCTAATTTTCCTGCATCCACAAGCGTCAGGTACCAGGTACTCCTGTATCACATCTCACTAACACCCACCACCGCTCACCACGTGGAGCAAAATCAGCTCAACCCTTGCCACTCATAGAAAAATAATGTACATGCAATTGCATTGTTAGAGAAAAAATGCATGAATTTGCATTCATCTTTTTCATTAAAAACAATGCCTTAGGGCAAAAGTCATGCTCCTTTTAAGATGCTGCACTTTTCTGATTTCTTCCTAGTTCATGGCGGCTCCCCTTCCATCTTCTTAGCCAACTCTTCCTCTTGTTCCTCTTCTTCCCCTTGGGACCTCATCTTTTCTCTCTCTACGCCCATTGCTTTATTTATTTAGTTATTTATTTTAATTTATTTTTTAAATTTATTTATGGCTGAGTTGGGTCTTCGTTGCTGCGCACGGGCTTTCTCTAGTTGCGGCGAGCGGGAGCTACTCTTTGTTGTGGTGCATGGGCTTCTCATTGCAGTGGCTTCTCTTGCTGTGGAGCATGGGCTCTAGGCTCACGGCTTCAGTATTTGTGGCTCGTGTGCTCCAGAGCACAGGCTCGGTAGCTGTGGCGCACGGGCTTAGTTGCTCCACGGCACGTGGGATCTTCCCAGACCAGGGATCAAACCCGTGTCTCCTGCATTGGCAGGCGGATTCTTAACCACTGCACCACCAGGGAAGTCCCTACACC